CAATATCAATATTTATTTAAAAACTGCGGTTCGTTTCGATGCCCGGAATGCTTCCTGTGCAATATTAACGAAAACGACGGCGACGTCGACTCGCGGTTACGTCGATTATAAYAATAATATAATATTATTTATAATAATAATAATATACAGAGTGTGCGAATGTGTGTGTGTTTGTCATTCTCCAACATTTTGTTTGAGGTGTCGTAATATCCGMGCGGATATTGTAAAAACACGATTATACATACACCGGCTAGGTGCGGTTTGCGCTTCTCATACGCAACCGGAAAACGTAAACAAATATTCATACCGCTACCACGCGAGAAGTGTAATAATATTATAATCATTATTGGGTAGGCTGTATATCGGATAAACTTGCGAGGTAACTACCGCAGTTCGTGTGATGAACGAAAAAAAAAACATATCAAAATAATATATTATGTGTCTTAAATTATTTGGAGGTACATACTCGGTTGCTTTTGTCGTGGGAGGGGGGGAGTGGGACGACTCGCGCCCGCGATAAGCTCTTATCGGTCGAGCGCGGACAAAGTTTTTGGTTTCCTTYGCGCACCTCACTGCCACCGCCGCTCAATCCCCCCCCCCTTACTCACCCTAACACACCACACCCGTGAACACGCGTTACTATGCCGATTTATTCCAAAAATTTGTTCAGCCAAACTTTTCCTATAAAAACTGTCAAATTCAACAGACGGGTTAAGTGCACGCTTTTGTTGCCACGCGCTGCACCGCCCTTCCGTGCATATTATATTGTTTTCGGCGCGACGGTTTTCTTTTTTATATATTTTTTATTCCATCCTCKGTGAATTTTATTTACCGCTCCGCGGCCGACATTTAAATGTAAATGCCTTTTAGATTTAATTCGTCACGGGATTTAAATGCATGTCGTTCGAACGAGCGTGTGTGTTCGCACATCCAACTCGCCAACATTCGGTTTTAATATAATATATTATTTTATACGGATCGGTATAAGCAATAATATTTATTTATTATATATGTATGTGTTTTTTTAATTTCATTCAACCGATTTCGGGTGCTGTGTATGATTTTTTTCGCCTTCTCGCGGGTTAGAAAGTTAATAATTACACAATCCCTTACCTCATACCAACTCCGTTACTATGGCATCGCATCGTTTGTTGACAACAGAGAGATTCGATAATAATAATAATAATTTGTATTATTAAATTTTTTATTAATAATAATAATTATTATTATTATATTATATAATATCATATGATATTGAACATAAAATATTTTATTCATATATTATCGGAACGCCCGAACGGTGTTCGACGTTGTTGTACCTACTCTGCACCAGTACGGGGATTGRATAAATATAATAATGTTATATATATATGCGCTAGCGAACATAAATATTTTCAATATAATTGGCTATGTGCAAGTGTTTTTGTGTGTGTTTATTTATGCTAAATGTAGTGTGTGCTTTTGAAATGACACAATAATGGTACCGGGACACCGTTTAAATAATAATAATATAAATCAATATTATCGCGCGGCTTAAGCGATTATGGTATTTTATCATTCGTACCTAAAATACATAGGTAAAAATATAATACTGTGMGCATTAGTTTCTATAGGTACGAAATAATATATTCAGTATACGASGATGCACCCGATTTTCAGCTTTTGACCATACAGTAAGTACATGATTATGTTATTATTATGCATCTGTTTATTATCATAGCTTATACTTGACGTAAATTATTGTCCTATTGGTTGGTCCAAAAGCAAAATGTTAATTATGTTGCAAGGTTTTTGTATTGCACGTTTTAATATTTTTTCATTCATTATCACGAGTGTCACCAATTTAAGTGCAGAATAATAATAATAATAATTATTATTATCACTATTATCACTATTATCATAATCGTGCAATAACGTTGGTAGGTAAGTAGGTAGATTTTACGATGATAAATCATGAATTAAACGTGGATTCGTACATGAAAAATTAGTATTAAGGTGCAAATTTTTAAAAATATGTTAGGAGCCTTGTATTTAATTTTCAGATCTTAGATAAAAAAAAAATAAAATAAATACATTTTTTTTTAAAACACACTTTCCTATAAAAACATATTTAAACAAATATAATTATATATATATATTAAATTGTACTTAAAAATAATGAAAAATTTACTGATGAAAATTTTAAAAATGTGTGGTGCATCATATAAAACATTTAAAGCCGAGCTAAGTCTCACATACACTTCTTTGTTCAATCCTGTTTATAAGATAGTGACTGGGAGTATATGTCAAGTGGAAGAGCACCACACACTTTTAAATTTTTCATTATTTTTAAGCACAATTTAATATATACATTTATATTTTTTAGATTCTGAACGAAGTG